TAAGCTGGGCTTGGTGGCTCAGCCTGTAATCTCGTGCCTTTGGGAGGCTGAGGTGAGTGGATTGCCTGAGCCCACGGGTTCGAGACCCGCCTGGGCAGCAAGACCTCATCTCTACAATAAACAAAAAATCAACCGGGCGTGGTAGTGCATGCCTGTAATTCCGGCTACTCGGAAGGCTGAGGTGGAAGGATTGCCGGAGTCCAGCAGGTCGAGGCTGCGGTGCCCGGGAGCAGCCACTGCACTCCAGTCTGGGCGACAGAGTGAGACTCCAACTCAAAAAAAAAAAAAGAAACGATTCCCTGAAGCTCTCTGGAGCTAGTACCGTGGACAGCACTCTTAGGCCAAACCTTCCCTCTTCAGCACCAAGGACAACGCATAGCACCATCAGCACCCAGGACAGGGCAAATGAGGGCCACACCCAAACCAGCCAGCGCCAAGGTCAAAGTGCCAAATTCCCTTCCCTCATGCTGAGGTGGCAGTGAAAACTTTTTAAAAAAATTCCAGGCCAGGCTTGGTGGCTCAGCCTGTAATTCCAGGACTTTGGGAGGCCGAGGCGAGTGGATTGTCTGAGCCTGCAAGTTCGAGACTAGTCCAGGCAACTTGGTGAGACCTCGTCTCTACAATAAGTCAAACATTAGTGGGGCGAGGTAGTGCATGCCTGTAGTTCTGGCTACTTGGAAGGTTGAGGTGGATGGATCGCTAGAGCCCAGCAGGTTGATGCTGGATTGGCCATGAGCGTGCCACTGCACTCCAGCCTGAGTAAGACTCCAACTCAAAAAAAAAAAATCCCAGCTAGTTACCTGTCCCACAACTTTGAGTCAGGGTCTCACTCTGTTGCCTAGGCTGGAGTGCAGTGGCATGATTATGGTTCTCCAGAGCCTTGACCTCCTAGGCTCAAGTAGTTGGGAATATAGGCACGCCATTACACCTGGCTCATTTATTTATTTTTTGTAGAGATGGAGTCTTGCTATGTTGCCCAGGCTGGTCTCGAACTCCTGGCTCAAGAGACCCTCCCAAAGTGTTGGGATGACAGGTATGAGTCAATGTGGCTGGCCCTGCCCCACAATTAGTAAAGCTTCAAGGGGCTACCCCAATTTCTACTTGCATATCTTTTATCCTACAGGCCTGCTTTCTCATGTGTTTCTCACCCTGTGAAGTTCCTTGGGTTTGGACAGTTCAAGAAGTCTTTCTGGGGACACTTGACTGAAAAAATCCACCTCCCTAGGCTAAGAGAGCTTTCCGAGACTCCTTTTTTCTGCCTCCTGGCTTCATTTCAGACACAAGTAGAGCTAGCCACTGGATACAATTTCACTGCCAAACCCAGCAGTACAGAACAGGCCCGTTGCCACCTCACCTCAAGGGCTGGGCTCGCTGCCCTGTCCTAAAGACACTGAATAAAGAGGAGAGGCATTTCTGATCCTCCAGCCTGCCCCACTCCACGCTCACCCCTGAGCCATCTTTACTGGTCCTTGCCATTTGACGAGGGCTGGCATTGTTCCCGCCTGACCCCCTATCTGATGTCACAGGCTGCCCGCACGGTCTCAAAGCAAACACCTTGAGCTGTTCCAGCCTCCTTCAAGATCCCCAAGACTTTGGTTCAGTAGAGACCCCCACAGAGCCAGCAACTCTATCCTCCTGAGGCAGCAGAAGGGCAAGATGAGCACAGTTGAACACTGGCATCCTCTTCTCATGATGGCAGGAAGGCCACCTCTAGAGCTGTGACAAAATGAGACGGTGTGACCAGCACTGAGCCTGGCACACAGTAGGGGCACATTGAGGGAACGGTCCCACTTTTCAACAAGGAAAACATAACAAGGGTGACGATGATCCCCGACCACGCTGAGTACCTACTGCATGTTGGGCCAAGGTGTCAAGGGCAGGCAAGGGAAGGGCCATGACACCCATTCTGCTGATGAGGAAACCAAGGCTCAGATGGGCTGAGAAGACTGCCAAGGTTCACAGAGCCAGACAAGCAACAAAACCAGGTCCCCACCCTAATATTCCAGGCTTCTCCTCCCTCCAGAAGACCCCAGGGAACCGCGGCCACCCTCAGGCCCCTCAGGGTGCCCTTTGCTTCCTGTCCACACCCAGCACTGGGAGCTCTGTGCCCAGCTGGCCATGACTGCCAGCCTCAGATGCCAGGTGGCAAGGAGGGAGGCAGAGCCTGGGTTCTTTGTCCTCTCGGCCCCCAGGAGACGCCGCAGGGCTCCCTTCCCTACCACAGCGGCCTCCTCTCCTTCTGGGGTTTGCTGTGCCTCAGCCTCCCCACACATGGGGGCTATCGCACACTGCCATCACCAGCCCCAGCATCTGTGGTGTCCCCTCCAGGGCCCATCGGATCCATCATCCCAGGTGAGGAGATTAAGGCTCAGAGAGGGGAAGGCTCTCATGCCGGGATATGCGAACAGGATGACCTCAGGACTCTAGACCCTCCCCTCCTAGACCGTGGGCTCAGTGAGAGAGGCACCATGTATTCTGTCACTTCAGGTCCTGGCACCCAGCCGGGCCTGCCCTGGCCGCTCTCTCCCCACTTCCCCTGGAGAGAGGATGATGTGTCACCCGCCTTCACTATCCAGTCCAGAGAGCCTTGCGCGCAGAGGCCCTAGTCAGTGTGTCTTGTGGCAGTTCATTCAACCGGTAACTAGCCACTGCGCACCTGCCACCGTTAAGGGAGGAGCCACAGCAGTGAGGAGGCAGAGACACGAGCCCACAGGCCTTCCCGTCTCCGTGGTGGCCCGGACGGAAGCAAAGCAGACCTGTCTGCTTCCCGCCCGTCTTCATTACTGTGAGCTCCCAAAGGGCAGGGCTGTCGCTGTCACGCCAGCGCTACGTATGATGTCCCCTCACAATATATGCCTGCTGAAGGAATGAACGCGTGAATACATGCTGGTGAGCTGCCACTTCCCGGGATTTTGCTAAGTGTTTACCCATGTTCATGACTTCACGAGCCCTTCCTTGTGAGTCAGGCACTCTCAAGTGGCCATGCTAGCTATCCTGCTTCCTAGTATTCACTTTTGTTTAACAGAAGTGCCCAGTTTTTCAGTGCTGGGAGGACTGGAAAACAAAAGCACTTCATCAGCTTCCCTTGCTGCTAGGGTGGCCACACAACCACATCCAGCAAGAGAGATGCAGGCAAAAATCCACTGAGCGGGGCTTCCAGGAAATCTGTTGTTTTCCTGATAAGAAAGAGAAAGCATGCAGGTTTCATTTCCTTTTTCCTGCTTGGAATTCAGATACAGCACGTGGAGATGCAGCAGCCATTTTGTAACCATGAGCATGAAAGACAATGCTAAGGAAGGCCGAGGCTGGGGGCCCTTGATTGCCGCTTGAGCCGCTCGCTGCATTGACCCTGCCTGCCTGCCTGCCTCTGAGATTCTCATTATATGAGATGAATAACCTCCTGGGTATTTATACAAATGTTATTTGTCTTCCTCTGTTACGTGTAGCCAAATGCAATTTCAACGGATTCAGTATTATTATAACAGAGAGGTCAAGTTATTTTCTCAAAGTCACAGAGCAAACAGATTTGGAATCGGCCACAGGGTCTAATGCCGAGGGCTGTGTTCATTCTACTACCAGTGTGCTGTCATTCTTGCCTGCAGCCGCGGGCTACCAGGAAGCCCTTCTCCACACCCAGCACTTAGCCCTCCTCTGAGACTTCCTGACCACTCTGGAGTCTGGCCCTAAGTTCTCTGACATCACTCTCTTACCTGAGCCCTCTCCTAGCAGGTCCAGATCCTCCCGTCAAAGCTCAGCAGTCTCCTGGCTCCTGGCCCCAGTGAGGTGCTTGTTCCCTCCTCTCTGCCCCCCACCGCTGCCTGGTCCAGAACTCTCTTGTGGACAGCCACTCCAGTGCGCACAGCATTCAGCAGCTGTCTTTGCAGACAGGTCTCCCGGTTCCTGCCTTTTCCTTCTACAGGGTCCTGCATCCACCATAAGTGTCTTCTTCCTCGACAGCAACTGACAGGGCCTGGCACTCATAGACCTCCTGGGTCCGGCTCCTGCCAGCTACCCACTGTCTGCACTTGCTCCCTCTGTCCCTCACGGCCCTTTACCTGATCACGCCTGCAGGGCTGGCCCTGGCTCGCCTTCAACCACTGCAACCTCCAGGGCTTCCAGTGACCACCGCCAGCATGTCTCCTTCTCAGTTCCTGGCCTATGGAGCATGAGCTACGGTCTCACTGCTCGCAAGTGGCGCTTGGTGCCTGCTCCACCCAGCATCAGAGCTGCTTGAGGGCAGGAAGCCTACCTGTCTCTCTGCTTGCTTCCCCAGGGCCAGCACTCAGGCTCCTCAGGAGATGCTGTATGAAGCTCTACTCGCCGCCCTGCACACACCTCCCGTTCCAGCCAAACAACCACGCCAGCTTCCCGGGGCCCTCCCAGGGCACAAGCACCGAGGCTCCCAAATGCCTCTTGCCGGCCTCTTGAAGGCCCGGGCTTGGCCTTCCTCTTCCCTCTTGTCCATCAGAACCAAGCAGATGGGTGTTCCCAACTGTGGCGAGGCGGTGAGACCTTGGGACAGAGAGCTCTGTGTGTGCGTGTGTGGAGGAGGGGATCCTCACGTTTCTGCTGCTGGTCCCCCCGTCTGAGCTGAGTCTGAAAGCCCCAGCATCCCCTGAGCAGACACAGCTGTAGGGAAGAAGAAGAGGAAAACGCTGGTATACACTGAGCCCTGGTGTGGGCCGGCGCTGCTCCAGCCCAAGTAGTAAATATGCTGGTGATGATGGTAAGGCTGGTATTTGTGGAGCTTGGCCGGGTGTCCATCCTAAGGCTTTTACGCAGACAGAGCCCTCCCCACCCGTTTTACAGACGAAGAGGTGGAGCCACACGTCCAAGCTGTGATCGTCAGCTCGGGTCTCTCCCACCCCGAGCCTGCACCTCTGCGGGGCGGGACAGGCAGCACGCAGGTGTCTTGGCATCGAGGGAGGAGCCTCCTGAGCTCCTGCGCCTCTGAGCAAAAGGCTAGGAGGTATGACATCCCAACGGCCGGGCATACTTACCCTCACCTGCAAGGCTGCGGGACAGTGTTTGGGCCCTGGGAGGCCAGGTCGAAGAGCAGGTGGACGGAAGTCGGGGAGCCTGGGCCTGCTTCCCTGGGAAGGCTGAAGCTTTTCCCAACAGCCTGGGCCAAATTTATCTGCCAATCCCCCGAAGAGCTGATTCCAGCGTCTGTCTGGAAATGTCAGCTGGTGTGGTTGGAGGAACGCGGGAGAGTTTCCTCTAAATAGCAGGAAGCATATGGGAGGCGGATGGCGCCCGCGCCCCAACCTGCCAACTCTCGCGCAAGTGGGAGCTAAAAGGGGCCCAGCGGGGTCTGGCAATCCCGCCACCCAGGAGGTGAGGTGGGGAGCAGGGGACAGGGACCGTGCAACGACAAGGGCAGAAAGTGGGTCCCGAAGGGAGGTGGGCTGGAGCAGCCTGACGCAGAGGCAGCCAGGCCCTGTCAGAAGTGACACGCCCAGGAATCTAGCACGCTTCTGTGATCACAGCCACCACTGCCAGCCGGGCACTCGCCTTTCCAGATCTGGGTTAAGCTCTGTCTCTGGATGATTTCACTGTGACTCTGCAGCCAGCTCCAGGGTAGGGGCTGCTATCATCCTCCTGTTACAGATGAGGAAACCGTGGTTCAGGGGAGGAAGAACATGAAATCAAGAGACTCTGGGCTGGAAAGGACCTTCCAGATCCTCAGCTGAATCACAGACACTCTACAGACTCTCTGCCAAGTTGTGGTGTGGCTGGTGCTTGAACACTCCCAGTGACGGGGAGCTTGCTACCACCCAAGGGAGCCCATCTGCGGAGCTCTAGATATCGGAAAGGTTTTCCCAGACTAAGCTGTAATTTCCTTCCCTTGAGCTTTGCCCACGAGGGCCTCCCCCAGCAGAGCTGATAGCCAGGGAGCAAGGCCCCGCAGGGTCTCTGGTTCCCTTTCCAGGTGACTTACTTCAGCTCCCTCTGCGACCTCACACAGTTGCCCAGCCAGCTCTCTGGTCCACCTCTGCCCCCGACCATGGTGACCAAGCAGTCCCAGTTGCCAAGCACCTGCGCTGTGCTTGACACTGGCCAGAGTCTGCCTCAATCTTCCCCACAGCCCCTGGGGCACCACCATCCTCACTTCTACTTCACAGGAGCCAACTGAGGTGCCACAGGGGGGTGTCCCTGCCAGCCATTCAGCAGAGACAGGCCCTGCGGGATGCACCAGGCTGCTGCTCTAAGCCCCATGAAGCCAAGGAGGCCCCTGGGGCCCCCTGGGGACACAGACCCAGCCTTTGCCAGGATTCACCTTGACACTGGCCCACAGGGCCCCCAAGCCCACAGCACCCTCCTCCCAGGGTGACACTTCACACCCTCTCTCCCTTCTGCAGCGCCTGGCCCCCAAGTCTTGCGGAGTGTCCCTGCTGAATGCCCCGGCGCCATCCTCTAGTCCTCTCCTGCTCACCATCACCCCAACACCGGCCAAAGCCCAGACCTTTCGAGCACTCAGGCCTGACCTGCCTTGGGCTCCCTTTTATCCTAAGGGTTAAACCTGAACTCCCAGCCAGTGCTGGAGGCCTCCCAAACCCAGCTCTGGCTGACCTCTTCAGCCCCGTGTCCCCCCACCGTCATGCACACCCTCTGCCTCTATGCAGCAGGAGGCCGGGACCCTGGTAGAGCCCCTCCCAGCCTCTGCTGCCCGCAGAAGCCCTAGTCACCCCTCACATCTGCTGGGGGGACAGAGTCAACTGTGCTGGCTCTGGCGGTCCCTAAGTGATCTCCCAGGCCTCACCTCTCGTCACTGCAAGATGCTGCTCTCCTTGGCTGAGCTGGGAAAGCCCCAGGGGAAGGGGCTGTGCTGCGGCCTTGCTGACAAATGTCTGCCTAGAGAGAGGGTGAATGGACAGCAGGCATGACAAAGCCTGAGAGAGGACCCGTAAAAACCACCTTGTGTATGTCAGAGCTTTGATCCATCAGAAACAAACACCCCGCTGTCAAAATAGACGGCCACAAAACGGATTAATGAGGATTTAGAAGGGTGTCCGCTGGATGATCTGGGTGGTGGGAGTTTCCAGAAAAAAGCTGTCCAAGCCCAGATAGATGAAGTGACCAGACCCCACCTGGAAGGTGAGAGGAGGAGGGCCACGGAGGGGGAGGGGAGGGGTGCCCATTCCTGCTCTGCCTCCAACCGTCTCTGTGCTATTGCATGGGAGGCTGGGCCTCTCAGAGCCTCAGTTTCCTTGTCTGTAACATGCAAGGGGATTTGGAGAATTGGCCGAGGTAGCACACATGTGTCTGCAGGCCTAGATGGTTCCTCTACTGTCAGGCTAATGTCACTCTCTCTGCCCCACTCTCAAACTCCCTGCAGGGTCTGCAGACACCCAGGGCTCCCAGTCTTGGTTCCCTGACCTGGAAATGCAGGCCCCTGCCTGTTCTCCTGGCATGCTATCTGGGAGGTATCCCTCAATGTCCTGGGTAGTGCTAGAACTGCAGACTGGATCCTGGGAATAAACTTTCTAACAGCAGTGGAGAGAACAAGGAGTAAGCTCCCCATCACTGGGGGTATGCAAGCAGTGACTGGACACCACAAGACAGGAATTCTAACCCAGGTTAGGAAGTTATACCAGCAGGTATCCAGGGCCCCCTAACATTGGGTTCCTTCTCTCTTTCCCCTTGTGAGGTCTTGACCTAACCCTTCCAGGCTGTGTTCCCAGCAGCAGGCAGTGAGTTCACGAACACTTCCCTCATCCCACAACATCCCTCAAGGCCTCCCTACTGCCTTCAGAATCAGGTCCAAGTTCTTACTCTGGCATTCAAGGCCCTGTAGTTTGGGCCTGCCGGTTCTCATATGATGGCTGTACCTCCACCACTTGCCTCTGGGCATTTGACATGACACAATTCTCCTCCTATAGCATTCGTCCATGTACTCTGCTTGGCTAATCAACATAGGCATCACCTCTTCCAGGAAGCCTTCTTTGCTCCCAGGCTAGCCCTTTAGTTCCCTCGGCCCACCCACCTTTGCACTCCCATCTTAGCACCTGCCACATTCCAGGTAAATCATCCGTATGCTCCCTTCACCCACAAAGGTCTGCAGGCCCTTGAGGGCCAAGACAGCTGCCTCCTGGGACACTGAGAGGGCTGAGGTCTCCCGAGCAAAACTGATCCTTCAGAGACTCTGAGAGTATTGAAGGCTGCCTCTGTGAGCCTCTGACCGGCGGTCGGGGCTTGGGACTCCTCACAGCAGTTTCCTTGTTTTTCCTGCTTATGGAAGTCACATGCCCTGGTAAACTCAGATAACTACAGGAGGGGAACTTGCTGGGTGTGGCTGCCATTGAGATCACAGCCTGTGTTTGCTTTTGGGGAAGCCACTGTCCCTATTCTCCACCCCAGCTGGAGGATGGTACACAGGCCCAAACTGCCCATCAGAGCACTGAATTCCCCCTCGCAACATCAACTGACCGCAGGGGGACATCCCACAAACTTGACTGATCAATGCCAAGGCTCAGTCTGAGACTTCTATTTGAGTTATTTGGGGAGAATTCTTGCTTATTCCTTTGGACAGATACCTTATCACCTGGACAGGAGAGCTCAGTGAGAACATGGGGTCAACCCAGAGAAAGCAGAGTTGAGAAACGGTGTGAGAAATCAGGTCCTGGTGACACTGTCTGAGTCCCTGGATCCAGCCAAACCGGAAGCTAGCATACCTCTGAACTCTACAATCCAATAAATAATTTTTCTGTTTAAACCAGTTGGGGATGGGTTTTTCTGTCCCTTGTACCTGAAAAGACTCTGAATGATGCGAGCAAAAATAAAAGTCGAGCTCACCCATAGCTCACCCTCTGGAGGAAACCACCATGAGCAGTTTAGCAACTCTCTTCCTGGGTGCATCTCTGGGAAGCAGCATGCACACATATATAGTTTTCATAACAAAAATGACAACATCAGTAGCTCTCTTAGCAGATACCCATTCCTCTCCCAGGTCCTAATGCTCAGGAGAGACTCCGAGTCCAGATATCATATCGTAGACACCATCTTTTAGCCTCTTATTTTCTCTCAACAGTGTGCCATCGACAAGACTCCATGTCGACAGGTATGGATCTGCAGCACAACTTGCAAAGCTGCTGAGAACGCCATTGTCTTGCTGGACGTAAGTTACTTAATGTCTCTCACAGACACAGAACTGGGGAGTTTCGAGTTTATCGCCATCATCCAGACAGGTGCAGGGAACTTCCTCACAGAATGCATATGTTTGCACTTGCCGTGTTATTTTTGACTGAGATTTCATGATTCCAGGAGTTTGACTTCATGGGCACAAGTTGCTCTGTCTGAGATTTAAGATCCTCGGAGTGGCTGTCAGGGAGTGTCTGTCTTCCTAGGCAGGTGTGCTGGCTGTCAAAAACAGCAACTCCAGGGCCAGGCATCCCCGTGAGAGTGTCTCTGGCAAGCGTGGTCATTGGCAGAGGCAAGTGAGTTGGTGGAAGGAAGGTGGGCGTGGGGTGGGGTTGGTGCTGGCCTGGGGTCCAGCAGCCGTGTGCCCGGCCAAGTTGTCCACCTTGCTGGACCTCGTCTCCCAATGGGTCTGACTCCCACAAGGGAGGGAGAGGCGAGCCTGGCAGGACATGAGGAGCACACAGAAGGCACCACCTCTGATGGTCACCGTGGTGACAGCAGCAGCACCTCAGCAACACAACACTGGGATTGTCCCAGCCCTCCACGTGTTTTAATTCACTTAGGCCCCCAACCACCTTCTGATGCTATTCTCTCCCCTGTTTTGCAGAAGAAAAAGTTCAGCCTCAGAGAGGGCGAGTAATCTGTCCGAGGTCAGACAGCCAAGAAGTGGTGAAGCTGAGGACCCAGGCCTGAGGATTCCCTGCCCACGTGCTTTACCCCACTCTAGGGGGGGCCGGTAGCAAGAAATATCCCAGGCAGGACTTTGGGAGTCATAAGGTCCTCTGTTCCTCCCCCTAAGTTCTACATTAAAGAAAGACTCCCAATCCAGCAGCAAGGCTCACCCCTCGCCCACTCCCAGAAGGAGCCCGTGCGGGGTTTGCAGAAATGCACATAGCTCTAACAAAAATGATACCATGCTGCCCTCTTCTTTTCAGAAAACAACAACAACTCTTCGACACATTCTGAAGTTCTTCCTGCACAACACATCTGACCCACGGCCTGTTTCTAACAGCAGGCGCCACTGTGTGGCTGGGTCACATGGCTTTAGCTAGCCT